CGGTGGTGGCCGTGAGCGTGTCCGCTACCCGCTACACTACAACGCGTCACATCTGTCACGTGCGCGGGTCGTCACGTGACAGTTGTGACGTCACAGCTCACTTGCCGTGCAAAAAATATACAAAAAAATGAACCCGTAAAAACAAAGTTTTTCACTCTAAATCCTTTATATGCGTGGCGGCTAGAGTCCTCTCGTCCTCTGGCTTGAGATGGCTGCCACCTATGGGTCAGATGATTGTCTGCCAGCATTAAGCAATTGGTAATTAAATATGTATTTAATTTTTCCTAAACAGTGTAAAATTTTGGAAAAAAAATTTCACGAACATTAATTGTCTCGCACAACGAGTCTGTGTGGAAAATGTCAGCTCGATTGGATCACGGGAAGTGGGTTAAAAAACGATCGAAAGATTTGCACGGTCGTAAGCAAGCAAGCACGCAAGCAAGCAAGCGGACTTAATATAAAGGATTTAAAAATAAAAGTGTATTTGTATAATGTTTGCACGGTGCACAGTCTGGAAAGTACCCACATGGCAAATGTGCAGTTTGTTGCATGTCGGGAAGTACGCTAAACATTTTGAACAGACACACAGAGTCACAACTTTGCCTTTTTAAATCCTTTATATTAAGTTCGCTTGCTTGCTTGCTTAGGACCGTGCAAATCTTTCGGTCGTTTTTTAACCCACTTCCCGTGATCCAATCGAGCTGAAATTTTCCACACAGACTCGTTGTGCGTGACAATTAATGTTCGTGAAATTTTTTTTCAAAAATTTTATACTTTTTAGGACAAAAATATTATATTTAATTACCAATTGCTTAATGGTGCAATGCAATCATCTGACCCATAGGTGGCAGCCATCTCAAGCCAGAGGACGAGAGGACTCGAGCCGCCACGCATATAAAGGATTTAGAGTGAAAAACTTTGTTTTTACGGGTTATACTTATATTAAGTTCACTTGCTTGCTTACGACCGTGCAAATCTTTCGGTCGTTTTTTTAACCCACTTCCCGTGATCCAATCGAGCTGACATTTTGCACACAGACTCGTTGTGCGTGACAATTAATTTTCGTGAAATTTTTTTTCCAAAACTTTCCACTTTTTAGGAGAAAAAAAATTCATATTTAATTTAAAATACCTATGTGATAAAAATGAAACCCTAACCCTAACTCTTACTCAAGAAAAACAGAAATGAATAATGAAAAAAAAACCGATGCCACGCATATAAAGGATTTCTAGTGAAAAACTTTGTTTTTACGGGTTAATTTTTATATTTATGGAGATATCTATACCAAGCTTATTGTCATCAAATGTGAGACCCACTCAGCAGCTGCTGTGTAGATATTGTGTCAGAAGCGAGCTGGGACATCACTAGTGACAGCAACTCAGCCACGTGACTGATATCATCTTCATCATCACCACCACGTGACTGATATCATCATCATCACCACGTGACTGATATCATCATCATCACCACGTGACTGATATCATCATCACCACCACGTGACTGATATCATCATCATCACCACCACGTGACTGATATCATCATCATCATCACCACGTGACTGATATCATCATCATCATCACCACGTGACTGATATCATCATCATCACCACCACGTGACTGACATCATCATCATTACGTGACTGATATCATCATCATCATCACCACGTGACTGATATCATCATCATCACCACGTGACTGATATCATCATCATCACGTGAACTTTGACCCTGAGCTCGTGGTGACGTTGATTCTAAATGTGTCGTGAAAACCGGAGAACCCGGAGAGAAACATCCACACAGGAAGAGAGAGACGCAGACTCCACATACACAACAGCAGCAGCAGCAGCAGCATCGTCAGGGTCGGGATCGAACCCACGACCTCCTGTACACCAGGCGAGGTAGTTAACATCTCAACATCGAACCCACGACCTCCTGTACACCAGGCGAGGTAGTCAACATCTCAACATTGAACCCACGACCTCCTGTGTACCAGGCGAGGTAGTCAACATCTCAGCATCGAACCCACGACCTCCTGTACACCAGGCGAGGTAGTCAACATCTCAACATTGAACCCACGACCTCCTGTACACCAGGCGAGGTGGTTAACGTCTCCTTGTTATCTTGATTCGCCAAAGTAATGTTTAGTTGCGAATTAAAATTCCTCCAGGCGAATGTTGATCATCTCACTCTTAAATATACGTGCAGAGTGACACTCTAGTGATGTGTTTCTCTCTGTGTGTCTCTCTGTGTGTCTCTGTGTGTGTTTCTCTGTGTGTGTCTCTGTGTGTCTGTGTGTGTGTCTGTGTGTGTTTCTCTGTGTGTGTCTGTGTGTCTCTGTGTGTGTGTCTGTGTGTGTTTCTCTGTGTGTCTCTGTGTGTGTGTCTGTCTGTGTGTTTCTCTGTGTGTGTCTCTGTGTGTCTGTGTGTGTGTCTGTGTGTGTCTGTGTGTGTCTCTGTGTGTGTGTCTGTTGTGTCTCTGTGTGTCTCCGTGTGTGTCTCTGTGTGTGTCTGTGTTGTCTGTGTGTGTCTGTGTGTGTGTCTCTGTGTGTGTCTCCGTGTGTGTGTCTCTGTGTCTCTGTGAGTGTCTCTCTGTGTGTCTGTGTGTGTCTCTGTGTGTGTGTCTGTGTCTTTGTGTGTGTCTCCGTGTGTGTCTGTGTGTCTCTGTGAGTGCCTCTGTGTGTGTCTGTGTGTCTCTCTGTGTGTCTGTGTGTGTGTCTCTGTGTCTTTGTGTGTGTGTTTCTGTGTGTGTGTCTGTGTGTGTCTCTGTAAGTATGTCTGTGTGTCTGTGTGTGTCCGTGTGTGTGTCTCTGTGTCTCTCTGTGTCTCTGTGTGTGTCTGTATGTGTGTGTCTCTGTGTGTGTCTCTGTCCGTCTCTGTGTGTCTGTGTGTGTCTCTGTGTGTCTCTGTGTGCGTTTCTCTGTATGTATGTCTCTGTGTGCCTCTGTGTGTGTGTCTTTGTGTCTCTGTGTGTATGTCTCTGTGTGTGTGTCTCTGTGTGTCTCTGTGTGGGTGTCTCTGTGTGTGTCTCTGTGTGGGTGTCTCTGTGTGTGTGTCTATGTGTGTATGTCTCTGTGTGGGTGACTTTGTGTCTGTGCGCGTTTGTCTACGTGTGTGTCTATGCCGGAGACCGGTACCAGCTGTGTCAAGATCGGCTTCGTGAAGGACGCTGCTGCTGCTGGGCAGTGCCAGGCTAGGTGCACCGTGACGCTACTGGGCAGTTGGAGGGAGTCGCCCTCCAGCAACAACGGAGGGCGGAGGAGCGACGCTCACAACAACGAGCGGAGCGCCGGGTGGCTAAAATGCAGCAAATCATCTCAGCCAGCCAGTCTATGGCACCTGCTGGGTCTGTCCCGAGACCTGTCAGTGAGCCCTCCGACACTTCACGTGGCCTCATAGTGCACCTAGCCTGGCACAGGCGCCATGGTGACGTCAGCGTCACTTAGTGGCGAATGGCGGTTGTTGGTATTGGTGTAGGTCGACTCAGCCTCACGTGAGTACCTGGTGTAGCGGTATAGTGGAGGAACATCGCCACTGGGCGGCCGGGCGTGGTGCTGGCCACCCACCCCCTCAGTGTGCCGTTTTGGCCTTCATAGGTGCTACTCGCTAACAGCACTTGCCCCTACAGTCTGTTACGGCTACACGGGGGATCTTTGTCTTTGTATACCCGTGTGTGTGTTATCGTCACCCGTGTGTCTGTGTGTACGCTACGCGAGTATTTGTCTGCTGATGTCAGTGTCCACGTGACGGTATCTGCCACCTGGTAGAGCTGCCCCAATTCGTGATGGGGCACTTGTGGTAATTATAGACTTACACAGCAGCTCAGTGTCATGTTGAGTTGTAGTTCACGCACTGCACCAGGGACTCATTTGAGGCTGAGTCGACCTACACCAACAACCGCCATTCGCAACTAAGTGACGGTGACGTCACCACGGCGCCTGTGCCAGGCCAAGTGCACCTTGAGGCCACGTGAAGTGTCGAACGCCCGCTGGCAGGAGGTCACGGGGCAGGCCCAGCAGGTGCCACGGGTCGACTGACTGAGATGACCGAGATGACCGGCTGATGCACCACCTGTGCCCCTCTACTGTGCCAACTTGCTGTGCTTTAGCCACCCGGCGTTCCGCTCGTTGTTGTGAGCGTCGCTCCTCCGCCCTCCGTTGTTGTTGGAGGGCGACTGCCTCCAACTGCCCAGTAGCGTCCTTCACGAGCCTCCTCCACAGAGGCCGATCTTGACACCGCTGGTACCGGTCATCGGCAAGTCCACTCAGCTCCACGTCCTCCTGTACCACATCACTCCATCTCTTCTCCAGCCCGTGCCGCGCCCGTTTAGCCCCCTCGATCCGGCCGAACTAAAGCTGTTTAGGCATGCGGTGGCTGGGCATGCGGGCTACATGACCCAGCCAACGCAGCCTTGCCTGCCGGAGGAGCTCACCGATGGGACTTTGCCCAGATCTTTCGAGGATTGTGTGAGCTCCTCACACAATCCAGCCTGCAGGTTAAACCCAGGATGGATCGTAGGCAGGCCAGCCTCAATGTTTCCAACCGGTGCAGACGTTCCATTAGGGGGGGTCCACGTTTCGCAAGCGTAGGGGAGGGCATGACTACACACACACGCACGTACACACACACGTACACACACACGTACACACACACGTACACAAGTACACACACACACACGTGCACAAGTACACACACACGTACACAAGTACACACACAGGTACACAAGTACACACACACACGCGTACACAAGTACACACACACGTACACACACACGTACACAAGTACACACACACACGCGTACACAAGTACACACACGCACACACACGTGTACACAAGTACACACACACACGCACGCACGTACACACACACACGCACACGTACACACACACACGTACACACACACGTACACACACACGTACACACACACACACGCACACACACACGCACGTACACACACACACGTACACACACACACGCACGTACGTACATACACGTACACACGTGTC